GAGGCTGGCTCTTAGACGGCACGGGCCTTACCTCTAGAAACAAGACCCGCGCCCTCTAAAAAGCAGGGCCGCTTCCGAGAAGCCTCCCCACCTCCCCCCTGCCCTCCTCTGCGCGCAGCCGCCGCTCGTCGTGTGTCGATCGCCTCTCAAAGCCTGCCTCCCCGGTGCTGTCGACCACGGGGGCTGGGCCGTCGTCATGTGTATTCAAAGACTTTACGCACATGGGGCGAGCTCCTCGGCCTCCTGGCTGACCTGGGCTGCCCCAGGATTCAGGCAGGGGCGCCACCGCACTGCCAGGAGGGCCGGAGGGGGCTCGGGAGACGGCCCCCGAGGGGCCCCCCCGGGCGGGGGCCTCAAGAGTCCAGGACGGCCGAAGATGGCCACGGGATGCTCCTCTTCCCTTCCTCCTCTCCTCCTCCTCCTCCTCCTCCTCCTCCTCCTCCTCCTCCTCCTCCTCGTCCTCCTCCTTCTCCTCCTCCTTCTCCTCCTCGTCCGCCTCCTCATCCTACTCCTCTTCTAAGATCGCCCAGGAGGTCCCCAAGTTGCCGCCGAGAGTGCAAACACAGTGGCAAGATGTAGCGTGTTCAATGTGTATTGGCTGTCCCATGCTTGCGTTGGTCCCAAGGTCGCTTCAAGACAGCAACCAGTGACCCCGAGATTACCCAAGGTGGCCCCAAGATGCCGCACAAATCTGAAAGGATGGCCCAGCAAGGCCTCAAGATGACCCTAAGATGCCTCAAGATGGGCCCTAGAGGCCTCAAGATAGAGCCAAGAGTGCCCGATATGGCCCGAGTGTGGCCCCAAAGGCCCCAAGACGCCCCTGAAAACCCCCAGGGTAACCCCAAACCTGTTCCAACGTAGCTGCAAGATGGCTCAGCCAAGCGGCGGAAGGCGTGAGTTGCCCTTCAGATAACGACAACCAAGACTGCTGACGTGCGCCTGCACGCTGCAGCGGTCTCTGCGCCAAGACCACTCTGAAGCGACACCAAGAAGCATCCCTGAGGACTTTGACCCAGGTCAGCGTCGTTTTCGTCGCCGCCGCCGCCGTCGTCGTCATCGTCGTCGTCGTCGTCGTCGTCGTCATCCTTCAGGGTCGGCGGGAGCGGCCGTAAAGCCTTCGCAGCAATCCCGCGGGCAGCCCCAGAGGGTGAGGTGGGCCTCTCAGAGCTCGTCCCTTCCACCCGCGGCGGAGACTTGCGCCTCTGCGGCGTCGGTCCCGCCGAGGCCGTGGCCGCGGTAGCGCGTCTCCCAGCTCCCGGCCTTGCAGCGCAGGGTGGCCTCCGCGGCCTCCGCCATGGCTCGCAGCGTCTGCGGCGGCACGATCTTGCACGACACGACGTCCAGGACAGCGAAGCCGAGCTCGGGCCAGGTGTGGATGCCCACGTGGGATTCCGACTCCGGGGCCGGAGTCTGTGCACACCCATCGCCGGGGGAAGTCAAGCCCCAGGACACCAGGAGGCAGCTGACAAGGACGTACACACACATATATGTATACTCGCATACTTCCGCACATGCATGCATAATACATATATATATATATATATATATATATATACATCTACATATATACATATATCTATATATATATATACTAGAACCACGCGCTCGCTTCGCGCGCGCTTAGGTTCTAGCTAGGAGGCGAGCTTGAGTCAACGAAAGTCGCAGGGAAGGGGGCAGGGGGAAGAAGGCCAGAGAGCGCTGAAGGATACAAATACTGGAACCCTCTTGTGATTTTGTGGGGGGCCTCGTCCGGCCGCTCGCTGGGAGTTTGACGTAGCACCTCGGGAGCCTCTGAACCTGTCGGGGGCCTCCTGGAAGCAGGTTCGAAGCATTTTGGGGGCCGATTTGGGGCTTCTCGGGGCCTCCTTTGGGCCTCTTGGGGGTCTCCTGGGGCCTCTTGAGGGGCCTCCTTGGGGCCTCCTGGCGGCCTCTTGGGGCGGAAGGCTCGAGCTTGCGGTTCGTGGTCCCCCTCTGGGCCCCCTCTTGGGCCCGTCTTGGGGCCCTCTTGGGCCATCTTGGGCGCCTCTTGGGCCGTCTTGGGGCCCTCTTGGGCTGTCCTGGGGCCTTCTTGGAAGCTTCTTGGGCCGTCTTGGGGCGGTCTTGGAGGCCTCTTGGGCCGTCTTGGACGCGGTGAAAGCCCAAGATGCGAACATGCGAAAAATATACGTTTTCCCATAGGAATGGCACGATTTTTGTTTCTTGGACCTCTCTTGGGGTGCCTCTCGGAACGTCTTGGGCTGATTTTGGAAGCCTTTTGGCGCCTCTGGGCGGCGTTTTGGCGCCTCCTGGGATATGTTGGGCCGGAAACTCGGAATTCGAGAGTGGTTTTCTCCTTCTGGGACCCCTCTCGAAGTCGTCTTGGGGTTCTCTTGGGCCGTCTTGGGGCCGTCCTGAGCCACTCGTGCGCAGCCTTGGAGCGCTCCCGGAGGCCTCCTAGGCCGTCTTGGAGGCCTCTTGGGCCGTCTTGGACGCGGTGAAAGCCCTAGATGCGAACATGCGAAAAATGTACGTTTTCCCATAGGAATGGCACGATTTTTGTTTCTTGGACCTCTCTTGGGGTGCCTCTCGGAACGTCTTGGGGTGCTTTTGGGAGCCTTTCGGCGCCTCTTGGCTGCATTTTGGCGCCTCCTGGAGCCTCTTGGGCCGGAAGCTCGGAATTCGAGGTTGGCTTTCTCCGTCTGGGACCCCTCTCGAACTCGTCTTGGGGGGGTCTTGGGGCCCTCTTGGGCCATCTTGGGCGCCTCTTGGGCCGTCTTGGGGCCCTCTTGGGCTGTCCTGGGGCCCTCTTGGAAGCTTCTTGGGCCGTCTTGGGGCGGTCTTGGGCGCCTCTTGGGCCGTCCTGTAACGTCGGAAAGCCCAAAAGACAACTTTGTTGAAAATGTACGTTTTACGAAGGGAATGGGCCAATTTTTGCGTCTAGGGGCCCTCTTGGGACGCATGTTGGAGGCTTCTTGGGGCCTCTTGGGGGCGTCCTTGGACGTCTGGAGGCCATCTTCAGCATCTCGGAGCCCTCTTGGAGGCCTCTTGGAAGTTTCTTGGGCCGTCTTGGGCGCTTCTGGGGCCGTCTTGTCTGACCAGGGAGGCCTCCGGCAAGCCCCGACGAGCCTCCGGGCCCCCCGGAGCCCACATTTGCGGTCGGGGTCCCGGCCCCGGGCCCCTGGACCCGGTGCGCCGTTATATGTGTGTGTGTATATATATATATGTGTATACATTATGGTTCCTGGGGTCCTGGGACATCGGTCTCCCAGGCGTCGGGTACGGGCTGACCCCGGTCGGCGTTCACCCAGGTCAGCCGAAGCCGTGTCGCGAACACAGGCTTGCCACGGAGTAGCTCCCAGACCCCAACACACAGGCCAGCGGAGAAAGGGAATGGGTGGTTGGCTTCCGCGCGGCTCCCAACCCCGGGCCAGCCCGAGGAGACCAGAGGGGATTGGCTGACCCCCGCTGGCGAGGAACAGCGAATGCTCGACGCAGGCGCTGCCCTCGGAGGCGACAGCGGGGAGCGCACGGGCCTCGGGCCCCCTCCCGAGCCCCTCACGCCCTGGACGAAGTCGGCGCGCTCCCCCCGAGACGCCGGCCGCGGCGCGTCAACCCGGTGCAAATCGCCCGATGTCTCGGCCAGCGACCGTGTGTCGCAGGGACGCAAGGGTGGGATAGGGGCAGAGGTGGGGTCAGAGGGAAATCGATCAAGGAGGCCCGCGTAAGAAGGAAAATGAGAAGGACCAGCTTGGTATGTTTCCTAACCCCACCTTGGGATAACCCCCCCTCAACGAAACTCCGAAGTTGTCGCAAGTCCCCGCCTCGCACCCGACACCTGGGCCAGCCAGGGGGAGGGGCTCGCGAGGGCACGGTCTGATCCCCGTGGGCCCAGGCCCCCGCGGTCCTGGACATCCGCCGGTGTGACGTTTCAATCCGCGGCCTGAGCGATCGAAGGATTGCAAAAAAAACGAAGGATTGTTTGCAATCCTGGTTTTTTTTTTTTGCAATCCTTCGTTCAAGGGTTTTTTTGCAATCCTGGGTTTTTTTGCAATCACTTCTCTGCGGGTACGGTCGGGAACGTTTGCGCGGCATGTCGCGGCGGCAGTGCCCCGGAGACAGGATATGCCCTGCCAGCGGAAAGCGTGCTGCTCCGCTCCGCGGGGCGGGAGACTAGGAAAAAGCTCAGAACGTTGACGCGTGGGGATGGCGTGTCACGCCGAAGCGTGGTGGGCCAGAATCGTCGGAGCGATACGCTATCCAGCAGTTCCCGACCACAACTTGTCGCCCAGGATCCTTCTCTGATTGCCCCACGGGCCCGAAGCCGACACGAAAGGAAAACGCCTGGACTGCAAACATGAATCCACTGGATGCCTGGGGCACGTGCGTCTCCCGAAGGCGGTGGGCGTGTGCACCGAAAGCTCGGGCCTCGGACCTGACACCAGCATCAGGGCAGTGACCCCCTGCGGGCTGAACTGGTGGGATATTTTGCCTCGGCGGCTCAAATGTGGGGCCCTGAGCGATGTGGCCGTAAGCAGCGGAGTCATCAGACAGGGTGAGTTCACCTTGGTGAACATCAGGGCCCCATCCCGCAGGGAAAGGCGAAGCCAGGACAGGGACAACATCGGGCAGGGACAAATCAGGGATCTCTGAGCTCTCTCGGACTAGGCGCAACAGCAATCTGAGATCGTCCCGGACAAGCTCCGAGAGTGTTCTGGAATGCCCTGGAACGGACCCATCCTCTTCCTAGAATAGTCGTGCGACCAGAAGGAACACTGAATAAGGAACGAAGCGGCTTTTCTGGACAACCCGAGCCTCGGCCACGAAGAGGTTCCCCGACCTGCTTCTACGGAACGGCCCTGAAGACCAGGGCCCCTCCTGAGCCCAAAGTGGTCCTTGTTGCAGCGCCTTGCCTCTAGCCCCGCCCGACAGGGCTCCATCCTTGAACCGCCGACTGCCTAGCTCGGAGAGGGCGCCCATGCCGGCCAGCCTCGAGAGCAGGCCCTCGGCGGCGGCGGTGTCGTTCAGCAGGCCCTCGTCGCAGCCCCGCACCTCGCGGCAGGGGGGAGAGGGGCAGACGACTGCCACCGACCCTCCAGGATCAGAGGAGGCGGTTGTCACAAAAAGCTGTGGGAAGAATAACAGTAAGAATAGATTAAAAGAAAGCCTGTGGATGCCCCCAGAGGTATCCGAGAACCTCCACGGGACCTCGGTGGGCCTCTCCAGGGACCTCCGCCGAGCCGTGGAGGTCGGGATAGGGCCGGGAGCAGACCTTGCCAGAAAAGTACTCGGGGTCGTGCCAGCGAGCACCCTCCTCGCCTTCTCGTCCTCGTCCTCGTCGTTCCCCCCCCCCCTCCTACCCCTTATCACACATTCCTTGTCCTCCTCGTCTTCCTCCTCCCTCCATCTTCCTCCTCCTCCCCCTCCTCCTCCCCCTCCTCTTCCTCCTCCTCCTCCTCCTCCTCCTCCTCCTCCTCCTCCTCCTCCTCCTCCTCCTCCTCCTCCCCCTTCTCGCCCGTGAAGCATCAAGAAGATCAAGGCGGAGAAGGAGGATGGCAAGGCGGAGAAGCAGGAGGACGCGGTGGAGAACAAGGGCGAGGACGGGAAAGAGGAGAGACACGAGGAATGGGATGCCTGCGAAGCGCAGCAACACGATCGCGAGGGGCAGGGCGCGTCGCCGCCGCCACCGAGGTAACAGGAGAAGAGGAGCAGGCGGGCTGCAGGCCCCCGAGCCTCGATGCTCAGGCTCTGCACCAGCTCCGCGCCAGCTGAGGTGGCCTCGCGGCCAACTGCTATAGCAGTGGGGGGGGGGAGCGCCCTTGCGCTCCCCGGCTCGTCGCCAGAGGTCTGAGCCCCCATCCTTCTCAAAATCGCCCCCCGAACCTGTCCCAGAGGGCGCTCCAGTCAGAAGTTCAAGGCGCAGCGCCGTGGGAGGCCCAAGAATGCAAAACAACTTGCCATACTTGACTCGACCCTCGATCCTCGATTATCATCGTCCCTCCCTTCTCCCTCCCGCCTTCTGGCGCCCTCATCCTGCTTATGTGCCCTCTTCCCCCGTCTCTCCCTCCTCCCTGCCTCCCCAATTCCCTCCATCCTCTCTTCCTCCATCGTCTCTCCATCCATCTTCCCTCGATCTACCTCCCTCCACCCCCCCTTCTCTATCCTCTTGCCCGTTCCGCTGGGCCTGAACCGCATGCGCTCCTCAACCCTGAGCTGCTGCTACCGTGCAGAGGCGGGGTAATAAGATCAGGGGAAGAAACGAGACCTCTCGTCTCCTTTGTTTCCGCACCGATCCGCCTCCTGATGCTGCTGCTGCTGCTGCTGCTGCTGCTGCTGCTGCTGCTGCTGCTCCTCCTCCTCCTCCTCCTCCTCCTCCTCCTCCTCCTCCTCCTCCTCACCTCGTATTCCTCCTCCTCCTCCTCCTCCTCCTCCTCCTCCTCCTCCTCCTCCTCCTCCTCCTCCTTCCCTCCCTCCCTCCCTCCCTCCCTCAGGTGCTTCAGGCCGTGGCCGTTTGCGCGCGTCCGACCTGCCTCAGCCCCAAGCCCTCTGGGCCCGCGGCTCGCTTCGCCTCGCACCGGGTTCCGCTGGCCGCCCGTGAGAAGGATGGGGCTCTTGGGATCGCTGGGCACCCCTGCGGCGTGGGTGTTTCTTGGGTTCGGGGATGGACAGAAACCCCTTTAGTAAAACGTGGTTTAGCGAAAACGACCTCGGACCCAAACCTGGCGGGCGCAAACCTGGAAGATGACGGCCGCAGCACCCTCTCGAGAACCGAAAACGGACAATTCACTAATCGACGTGTCAGGGTAGGAGGTCTGTACACCCCCGATGGGTTGGGATCCAGTGACGTGGATTTGTGATCCTGTTGTGCAGCGGGTTCACCTGGGCCTGGAGGCATAGAGCGTTCGCGGTCGCCAGCCTGACACCGACGCTTCCGAGGGAACCGGTCCACCGCGAGAGATTCCTAAGAGCCTGCTTGCTTCCCACCCCTGACCACGTGCGCCGATAACCAGCAAAGGACGTGGACGTGGCAAAGATGGCGGCGGCAACGGCACAGGCCCACGTTGGGCTTGCGCTGAGTCTCGTCGATGTGGTTTCGCCCGGAATGTCAGTACGAACGAGCGGTGCGAAATGTCGGCAGGATCGACACGGACAGCCAGACCCCAGTGGAGCAACGCCTCTTCTACACGGCGACCTCGCACAATCTCGGTTCCCAGAACCCCTCGGAAGGACGAAGACGAGGGTCAAGGATCTTCCGATGAGGACATCGACCCAGTGGGGCGGGCACGGCAAGCGCTCAATGCTTTTCGGCGGCTCGGCTTGGACGACAATAGCGACCTCATCATTGCAGCGAAGCGTGAACTTGCTGTGTGTAAGGAGCTGGAGGAGCCTGCCCGAACTACTGATGATCTTGTACGACGGGCGCTCGACCGTCAATCTGCAAAGACGAGAGGAAGCCGCTTCTCTCCAGAGGCAAGCTGGTGAGTTGCAGAGCGAGCTGGCCACCAAGACCACCGAGCTTACCACCGCTACCACAGCGCTGGAGCCTATCCCCGTGCAGGTGTCAACGGCTCGAGCGGCTATGCTCGCAGCTGGTGCTCACAGCAGCTCCGGTGGTGGCGTGGACTGGAGCGGCGGGGTCAGGCTCTTGGGCAGGCTCCGCCTGCCGTCGCTGCGGGCAGTACGGCGGCAGCGTTCCGGTGTCTCGGCAGCCGTCTTACGGATCTCCACAGGGCATGTGCTGCTCCTCCGCGTGCTGCTTCTCGCGGTTCTCGGGGGATTTCTGCACCGGGAGCACCAGGCGGTGGAGCCCATCCATGGGATGCTGTCGTGCGTTCTGACGGTGAAGACGCCGCGGTGGAGGGCACGACCAGCCGTCAGCAAGAACCTGAATGGCTACACTCGCAGGTTGACAATGCATGGGGTCCAGCACGGAGTTGTTCACAGTTTTGATGCAGCGTGTGCAGATGGCGACCGACCTACCTGGCAAGATTCTACTCACGTATATGATGTCAAGCGTCGGGCTCTTGACAGTTAGCTTTGGGCGGCAAGAGCCTACCAACTGAGACTTCATCACTGACACCTGGCAACCCTTCTAGTTCGCGAGCTGTGTGTTGGATGGGAACTTATTATGTCCCAACTCATCTAGGTTCAACGTCGTTCACGGTGTGCTGGGTTCTTCCACCGGTGCAGGTGGTGCGAGTGCCGAGCCGAATCGTGATGAACACGGACCGCCACCGTTTCAACCTTCACGGCCTTGGCGAAGGAAGGCAAACGTCGTCCTATGCGACTCGCCGCTTTCAATTGCAGTGGGTTGCCGCAGCTACAAGATGTCTTGGATCAGCCTTGGCACTTCGCAGTGCTGATCGCTCAAGAGCACAAGCTGGCAGAAAATGCGTTGCTACGGGCTGAAGGGTGGACTGCCAAGCGCGGGTGGAAGCCTCTCTCACCTCGGCCGTGCCTGGAGAAGGCGACACTTTCAAGGCTGGTACTGGGATCTGTGTGCAAAGGAAAATAGGAGCCACGACGTTGAACGGCTACCTCTCTCGCATCTAGTGGTAGATGCCCCGCGCCGTTGCCATCTTACTGCTGCTGCGAAGCAGGGTGACAAACTCGGCGCCAACAAAACCGCCATGCTTCGGACCATTGGCAGATGCTTGGCTGACTATCGGAGATGGATAAAATATGTATATTTCCCTCCTCCCTGACCTCCCTCCATCCATCCCCTCCCTCTCCTGCCCCTCCCTCCCCAAACCTCCGACGTCACGTCGTGATTCTTCACAACCAGCATCCCCGGGAAGGGCTTTTCATCCCGAGTAGTTCCCCATGGACAGGTTGGGGTCGCTAAGTTTTAAGAGCAAACCTCCCGGCCACTCGCACCCTGCATACCGCGGGCCGCCAAACCCCAAGTTGTCCCGAGTGTCCCGGTTATCCCGCCTCGCGCCCTCGACAAACACGACAAAACACACCCTGCATACCGCGACCGCCAGACGCCAGGTTTTCCCGAGTGTCCCGGTTATCCCGCCTCGCGCCCTCGACAAACACGACAGAACACACCCTGCATACCGCAGCCGCAAGACCCCAAATTGTCCCGAGTGTCCTGGTTATCCCGCCTCGCGCCCTCGACAAACATGACAAAACACACCCGGCATACCGCGGCCGCAAGACCCCAAGTTGTCCCGAGAGTCCAGGTTATCCCGTCTCGCGCCCTCGACAAACACGACAAAGCACACCCTGCATACCACGGCCGCCAGACCCAAAGTTGTCCAGAGAATCCTGGGTATCCCGCCTCGCACCCTTGACAAAGACGACAAATCACAATATGGCACAACAGAACATGACAGAACAGAGCAAGAGCATAACAGAACATGGCAGAACAGAACCTAAACATATCATGACAGAATAGAGGACATCAGCACATCACAGAACATACCAGAGCAGAACGTGACAAAACAGAAAACGACAGAACACAACATACTATAATATAACCGAGCAGAACATAAGACACATGGACAGATCATATCATATCATGACACAGCGTACCATCAACATATCAGAAGACGACACCCGAGCATAGCGGCGAACACGCCAGAGCACAACATGCAACACACGAAGATAACATAACATAACACGAACCTGCGATAACATGACAGAGCGTAACGTAGCAATACCATGACACAAAAACATCATGGCATAACATCATATAACACATCAGGAAATGGCAACGTAGAACATAAGGCGACATAAGACCACATAACGTAGCTTAACCGAGGAAAACATAAGACACCTTGGCAAAACATCACAGACCATTCCACTTCATCGCAGAACATTTCGTTACACGACAGTACAGCTTGTCACCACATATTAGCATAGCAAGTCATAACGCATTAAATTGTGCCAAGCCGTCCACAAACACAACATCACATAACATACCAGAGCACAGCCAGATAGAACTGAAGACGACATAACACAACATAACATAATTGAACCGAGAATAGCATAACACACCTTGGCATGACACATCATATCATAACACATCATCACATGCCAGATAA